ATGGTCGCAACTGCTGACGTCATTACTGTCAAAGAGATTTCCTCGCGAGCCTGGAATCCATGGCGCCGGAATCTTTTGTACGCTAAATCCAACCCATAGAAATCTTCAATCATTTCTCGAACAGAATTCTTTTGGCTGAGCTGACCCCCCTCATCTCTCTCTCTCTTTCTCTATCTCTCTTTCTCTATCTCTCTTTCTCCCTCTCTCTCTTTCTCTCTCTCTCTCTCGCTTTCTCTCTCAACTTGCCAATTCAAACAATAACTTTTAAAGTAGCTCTTTCTTTCCGTCGACCCGTGCTCCTTTCTCTCATTCTCTCTATCTCTCCCTATCTCTACATTTCTCATTCTCGTTCTCTTTCTTGTTCTCTCTTTCTCTTTCTTATCCTCTTGTTATTTTTCTTATTTTCTCTTTCTTATACTCTCCCTCTCTTCCTTATTCACTCTTTCTTGCTGTCTCTCTTTCTTATTCTCTCCCTCTCTTTCTTGTTCTCTCACTCTCTTTCTTGTTCTCTCATTCTTTCTTGTTCTCTCATTCTCTTTCTAATTCTCTCTTTCTCTTTCTTGTTCTCTCATTCTTTTTCTTATTCTCTCCTTCTCTTTCTTGTTCTCTCATTCTCTTTCTTGTTCTCTCATTCTCTTTCTTATTCTCTCCGTCTCTTTCTTGTTCTCTCATTCTCTTTCTTGTTCTCTCATTCTTTTTCTTATTCTCTCCTTCTCTTTCTTGTTCTCTCATTCTCTTTCTTATTCTCTCCTTCTCTTTCTTGTTCTCTCATTCTCTTTCTTATTCTCTCCGTCTCTTTCTTGTTCTCTCTTTCTCTTTCTTATTCTCTCATTCTCTTTCTTGTTCTCTCATTCTCTTTCTTATTCTCTCATTCTCTTTCTTATTCTCTCCTTCTCTTTCTTGTTCTCTCATTCTCTTTCTTATTCTCTCATTCTCTTTCTTATACTCTCCGTCTCTTTCTTGTTCTCTCATTCTCTTTCTTGTTCTCTCATTCTCTTTTTCTTATTCTCTCATTCTCTTTTCTTATTCTCTCATTCTCTTTCTTGTTCTCTCATTCTCTTTCTTATTCTCTCCGTCAGATTTTCTTGTTCTCTCATTAAATTTCTTGTTCTCTCATTCTCTTTCTTATTCTCTCATTCTTCTTTTCTTATTCTCTCATTTTTTTTTATATTCTCTCCTTTCTCTTCTTTGTTCTCTCATTCTCTTTCTTATTCTCTAATTCTCTTTCTTGTTCTCTCTTTCTCTTTCTTATTCTCTCCTTCTCTTTCTTGTTCTCTCATTCTCTTTCTTATTCTCTCATTCTCTTTCTTGTTCTCTCATTCTCTTTCTTGTTCTCTCATTCTCTTTCTTATTCTCTCACTCTCTTTCTTGTTCTCTCATTCTCTTTCTTGTTCTCTCTTTCTCTTTCTTGTTCTCTCTTTCTCTTTCTTGTTCTCTCATTCTCTTTCTTATTCTCTCATTCTCTTTCTTGTTCTCTCATTCTCTTTCTTGTTCTCTCATTCTCTTTCTTATTCTCTCCTTCTCTTTCTTATTCTCTCATTCTCTTTCTTGTTCTCTCATTCTCTTTCTTATTCTCTCATTCTCTTTCTTGTTCTCTCATTCTCTTTCTTGTTCTCTCATTCTCTTTCTAGAAATAGAAACTCTCTTTTCTCTGTTCTCTCATTTCTTTCTTGTTCTCTCTTTCTCTTTCTTGTTCTCTCTTTCTCTTTCTTGTTCTCTCATTCTCTTTCTTATTCTCTCATTCTCTTTCTTGTTCTCTCATTCTCTTTCTTATTCTCTCATTCTCTTTCTTGTTCTCTCATTCTCTTTCTTGTTCTCTCATTCCCTTTCTTATTCTCTCACTCTCTTTCTTGTTCTCTCATTCTCTTTCTTATTCTCGCATTCTCTTTCTTGTTCTCTCATTCTCTTTCTTATTCTCTCTTTCTTATTCTCTCATTCTCTTTCTTGTTCTCTCATTTTCTTTCTTGTTCTCTCTTTCTCTTTCTTGTTCACTCATTATTTTCTTGTTCTCTTTCTTTCTTATTCTCTCTTTCTCTTTCTTATTCTCTCATTCTCTTTCTTATTCTCTCCCTCTCTTTCTTATACCCTCTTTCTTGCTGTCTCTTTCTCTTTCTTGTTCTCTATTTTCTTTCTTATTTTCTCATTCTCTTTCTCATTCTCTCTTTCTCTTTTTTCATTCTCTTTTTCTTGTTCTCTTTTTCTTCTTCTTGCTCTCTCTTTTTGTTTTTCATTTTCTCTTTCTGTTTCTTTGTCTCTCTTTCCCGTTCTTATTCTCTTTTTCTCTTTCTTGTTCTATATTTTACACACAAGCTATCACAAGCAGAAATACGCACATATATATATATATATATATATATATATATATAAGCGAAAAATATGAATTAAATTCGACAGAATGATTAAATAAAAACAGAATTTATCTTTTTAGGGGTTGGCAAACCGTAGAAAAGGAAACCAATCAATTTGTGCATTTTATTATGTTAAGAGTCTTCCTAGCAATCAAAATTTCTAAAGCCATAAAAATATTTTTAGAAAATAACCTGAAAAACAAAATGATGGTTATGTAAGAGTGGCCTAAGTTTGGCACAATGCCGGTAGTAAGTAGTGAGGATCGAACTCAATACTCATTCGTAATATTATTTAGGGTGTCAAGTTTACCAGCCATTAGACCCTATTGAAGCAACCGAGAATGTAGATTGAAATTATTAAGAAAAAATACAAAAAATAAATCGATCAAATTCCTTTCGTTTTCTTTTGCAAAATTACATTTTGTAAAATCCTTGCCAATGCTTCCAAGCCGCCGCGTTTTTGAAAACATCTTAATTGTCTTTTCTACCCGGCCCGCCCTTGCCACATCACGTTGCCCTTCAGGTCGTTTTCACTATTTCATTGTTAGCCTTCTGTCGTATAAATATTGAGAGACAATGAGAGATGCCTGCAGAAATTCAACATAAAAAATAAGGTATATCGTTATACGATCCTTCTATGAGATTTTTCTGGAAAAAAACCCAAGCAAAGAAGCACTTGGCTGAAAAAACTTAGATTTTAATTGAAAAGTCTTCCGATTTATTCAACGAGGATTCAACCCAGCCCTCATATATATATATATATATATATATATATATATATATATATATATATATATATATAAAGATAAAAAGACAATTAAAAAATTTATTATTAGCCGACGCGTTTCGTCCATTGTGGATTTTTTAAGGCAAAAATGAAATGTCTTTTGCAACACTGGACAAAACGCGTCGGTTAATAATACAGTTTCCTCATTGTCTTTTACATTTTTACATATGTGTGAGAAATATATATATATATATATATATATATATATATATATATAAATTAACTGACTTAAAAATATGGTTTCATCGTTACACAGGAATTACCATGTTTCTGTTTTTGAAACATGGTAATTCCTGTGTAGCGAAACCATATTTTTATATCAACTAATTTATAATATTTAGGCTCTGTATATTTATATTGAGCACAGTTTCGAAAAAGTAAAAGTGTCAATAAGAACACCGGATTGTATATCTTGCTGTTCTTTTCATTTTTTTTTATAATATATATATATATATATATATATATATATATATATATATATATATATATATATATATATATTAGAATCCATTTAAACACACGCCCAATGTTAACCAGACTCCATGTGAAACATACTAGTAGAAAATACAAACCTCATCCACTTGTAAAAAAAAAAAAATTAAAAAATAATGGAAGCCTTAATAACAATAAAAGAAAAGGCCAACACTTAATAATATTAACTATGAACCCAACCACAATGTGCTAGGTAAATAAAACATCTCTATAACACTAAAAATATACAAATTAATGAAACATGTATAAATGAAGGATTGCTGCCTAAATACACAATATATATATATATATATATATATATGTGTGTGTGTGTGAAGGAATATACTCTTAAGGTGTGCTATGTTTATGGGATAAAGTGGTCAATATCAGAGATAGAGCGTGTAAATATAAAAGTGAACATAGAAGTCAACACTTATTGACAACATTCTGGTTCATTCTAGACGCAATCGTCACGTCTGACGATTGCGTCTAGCATGAAACAGACTGTTGCCTCTAAGTGTTGACTTCTATGTTCAGTTTCATAATATTTTTTTCTAAAAAAACACACACATTACAACCAAAAACGTTTGCGGCACGTCTCTTCTCTTCTTTTTAATATACATACTTTTCCCTCGTTGGAACCACTACAACCTCTTTTATATATATATATATATATATATATATATATATATATATATATATATATATATATTGTGTATTTAGGCAGCAATGCTTCATTTATACATGTTTCTTTAAAGACGACAGACAAGGTACTGCGATTAATCTTTTTATATAATTTTTCTTGTGTTCGAACAAGTGTTTTCTTTTTTGGACACAGAGTGTGTAGAAACTGTCCAAATCTTCTATAATTCCGAGTGCTTTTGGCTATACTTTTAGCCATTATCAAGGATGATTTTATTTTTTTCAATTTAATCGGGTGTGTGCGTTGTGTGTATGTTTTTTTCACGCTTATTTACTGCTACATATGGCCTGGTTCTCCTGCTATTTACCTTCAGGCCCTTGATAAGATCCACATAAGAATCTGCAATATTATTGGTCCTGATCTGGCGTCTCGGCTCTCGTCATTTTCCCGCCCGCTATAAGGTTGCCTGTCCGTGTCTTTTCGATATATACTTTCAAGGTAATTGTTCGAATGAGCTCTTCGTTATGTCACTTCATGAATTTAAGCGAAGTACAAAACTGGGGTTGTAATCTCATCAATTCACATTTCAACTGGTCAGATGTAGTCGTAAGTTATCACTTGTGGAACTCCCTTCCAGCTCCATGCTTTCCTGCCAATTTTAATATGCAAAAATTTAAATGCAATGTCAATAGCTATCTACTGCCCCCCCCGTGATTACCCTCTTCCCTTTCTGCTCATCCTGAATGCTTCTGTTCTTAATTCTTCCACACCCTGTAACACCTTGTGTCTTAGTAGCTTTATTCCCTTTCTTGTGGAACTCCCTTCCGGCTCCATGCTTTTCAGCCAACTTTAATCTGCAAAAATTTAAATGCAATGTCAATCGCTATCTACTGTCCTCCTGATTTCTATTTTCTCTTCCCGCTCGTTATTAATGCTTCTGTTCCTAATCATTACACACCCTGTAACACCTTCTGTCTTAGTGGCTTTGTTGCCTTTCTTGTGGAACTCACTTCTGGCTTCATGCTTCCCAGCCAATTTTAATATGCAAAAATTTAAATGCAATGTCAATGGCTACCTACTGTTCTCCTGGTTACTCTCTTCTCTCTCTGCTCATCATTAATGTTTCTGTTTCTAATTCTTCCACATCCAGTAACCCCTTGTGTCTTAGTGGATTTATTGCCATGTATGTGGAACGCCATTCCAGCTCTATGCTTTGCAGCCAACTTTAATCTTCAAAAATTTAAATGTAATGTCAATCGCTATCTACTTCCCTCCTGATTACTCTTTTCTCTTCCCGCTCGTTATTAAAGTTTCTGTCCCTAATTCTTCCACACCCAGTGACCCCTTGTGTCTTAGTGGCTTTATTGCCTTGTTTGTGGAACTCCCTTCCGGTTCCATGCTTTCCAGCCAACTTTAATCTGTAAAAAATTAAATGCAATATCAATTGCTATCTACTGTCTTCTTGGTTATTCTGATCTCATACTGCTCATCATTAATGTTTCTGTTCCTAATTCTTCCACGCTCTGTAACCCCTTGTGTCTTAGTGGCTTTACTGCCTTGCTTGGGGTGATTCCGATTAAAAAAAAAGAAAAGAAATAGTTGAAGAGCCCAGTCTGTCCTGTTATTTATCCCATAGATGAGGAGAAGAAGAGTTAGGGTCATCATTGTACATTAGTGTATGCAACTATTTCACGATTACACCACCCGTACAGATATCAGGTAACAATTCAGTAACATTTTTCTCTGTTTCTTACGAAGATTTTTGGTCTCTTAATACCCTGCTTAGCTTTTGGAAGGCATCTTTCTCTATCCCAATGAGTCTTCGGATTTCAGTGTCGCAATTTCCGCCCTTTGTTAGAACAAATCCCTGAAATTTATATTTTTTGTACTTGTTTGATTTGGGTATCTTCATTTGTAATTAGCCCTTTGGGCTCGCCTTTTGCTAATAACCATGTATTCTCTCTCCTTGCAGTTGAGGAATAGTCCTTTCTTCTCGCTTTCCTTCCTCACCTTATGCAGAAAATTTTGCAGCTTTCTCTCTGCATCTGCAATCAACACTATGTGATTTGCATACTTTATTTTGCTAAGATTGTACGAAATCTAAATTCGGAAGCTATGGAGAGACATGAACACCCATAATCTGAAGGAACATCGTACATAAAAGAAAATGTTTTCTTGCAGTTGATGAATAGTCCTTTCTTCTCGCTTTCTTTTGCCACCTTCTGCAGGAGATTTTGCAGCTTCCTATCTGAATCTGCTATCAATACTGTGTCATTTGCATACTTCATGTTTTCAGATTGTACAAAATCTAAATTCGGAAGCTATGGAGAGGCATGATCACCCATTTCAAGTGAGGTTTAATCTTTTCTTCACTCTTTTCTTCACCAGCTTCTGTGGGAGCTTTTAACGTTTTCTTTCCGGGTCTGCTATGACCATTTTATCATCTTCATATCACTGGGCCTTTAAAAATAATCTCTTCGAGAAATAAGATATTTCCCATCGCAATATTCCAATCTACAGTTCTGGTGCTGACGACTGTTGCTTCAAGCAATTTTTAACAAGATGGATGAAAAGTTCAGTAAAATGAGATATTGGGCGGGGGGCATTTTTTTTTTTTTTCATACTTTGCTTTTCTGTCTCTGTGTCTCCTTTTACCTCCCCGTATCCGAGATACATGCAATTACCAATTTGGTGAAGGAATACCGTTTACTTTCTTTTTTTTTGTGGGACCATTATTTGTAGTGTGTAACTTCCTTATTTTTTGTAGGTACACGGATAAACTGAAACACGTGTGTAACTACTAAAAATAACGTTTATGGTAATGTAGCCGTCTCTTCTACTCCAGTAGCTTCATGTCTCGCACCTCTCGCCTGTGGAACTCACTTCCCTATTTTAGTTTCCCTGAGAGCTATAATCGCCAACTATTCAAATGTAATGTCAATCGACATCTCCAGTTGCCTTGATCTATCCACTACGCGACTGCTCATCCTTTCTTCTATCACTCCTATCTGATCTTGCTCCAAATCTTCTGTAACCCGTT